ATATTATTTGGACAAACTACGAAATTCTTCATGATGTACAAACCCATTTCCTTAATTTCTTGTCTGAACCTTTGGATAAAAGACCTGCCAATACTTGTGTGAATGTGATCGTCCTACAAAAAAACTTAATTAGTTAAAATGACTAAGTTATTCTGTATATGACTGTAATATACTTACGCATATGTAAACAATGACAAAATAGAAAGTAATTATAAAGTTTTAAACAATACCTTTTCATCCATCATAACAATCTCAATTGAAAAAGGGTTGTCAGGCCTATCGCGATCCGAATATTTTCAAAGCCTGACAATACGAACCTTTAACTTCCAATTCATTGACTTGCTGTTAATTTCAGTAACAAAATTGATTTCAGCCGCCATTATGTCCTGAAATAGACAGAGATATTTGTAAATATAAGTAGAAACTAAAACTTCACGGAAATATCTGTTAAAGGAATACAATCTCAACTGGAATAAAGATTGTTCATGAAATACAAATCATACAAATCACCTCTTGTACTCTAGAATTGTTGTTTGATATGCACACGATGGAGAAAGAACATAATTATATACTGTAAAAGTAGAACTGATTTGATAAAAATGTGAAATCATGTTACTGGAATCCTGGGCAGAAGAGTTCGTGGGTAAGGAGTTGATATCGTGGTGAGACATCGTGGGTTTGAGGTGCCGAATTTGGAGGATGAAATTTTTAGGGCAAATAGATGAAAATGGCGTTACCAGTTGCCGTTTTGAAGGTTTCAAAATGTATGTATATACCTATTTAATAGGAATTGCTTTTTCTTTAAAAAAATGTAGAAACTACTTCTTTCTTTTTTTAAATATAGAATAACGTAGAAACTACTTCTTTAAAAAAAAAAATATAGAAAACCTAATTAACTGTTTTCAAATTCAAAATTTAAAAATAGAAACTAATTTAACCTAAAATAACTAATTTGTCCTAAAGTTGCTACATGGCATTTTATATGTGGAACACTTTGGCAAATTTTTAGGTCAGACTTCTTTCCTTTTAAGTAAATATAGATATTTAAATCATCATGTATCAACCGTTCTTATATTCTTAGTTTATTAAAATATTAAAAAGAAAAGAAGAATTTATAATCTCGTCAACCCACCATACCACCCATATTCATTACACCACAGTCCACACTTATTCTGTTTTTCTCCGGCGACAAAACTGCCGGCGTAACTCGCCGGAGAACTCCCATTTTTCGACTAAGCAATGAAAACGGAAACCGTACACTCTATCTTCGATAGAGTAACGGAGCTAACGAAAATAGCTCAGGAGAAAAACACCGATCCTTTGATATGGGCCATGCAACTTTCATCTAGCCTCAACGCCGCCGGTGTATCCATGCCGTCCGTCGCCGTCGGCGAAATTTTAGTGAATCATATATGTTGGTCGAATAACGTTCCTATTGCTTGGAAGTTTCTGGAGAAAGCTTTGACGGTTAGAATTGTACCTCCTTTGTTCGTTCTCGCTCTTCTCTCTACCAGGTCCATTTTTTTTTGCTCCTTCATTTTATTTTATTTTTGCAAATTTTGTGTTTTTGTATTTTTACGAAATGTGTTTAAGACATAATTAAGAAAAAATGAAAGTGTTCTCTGTAATGGTCACACATTTTAATATAGTACAGTCAAATCTCTCTACTATAGCATCTTCCAGTATTTTTCTGGATTTTATAGAGATTGGCTGCTATACACATATAATAAAATTTGACAATTAAATCTTATTTGGTTATTATAGACAAAAATTATCCAAAAAAGTAATTTTTTCCATTTTTTCAATATTATAAAAGAAAGAAAATTATCTGCATAAAAGAAAAAACCTTTAATTACCAGGTCCCTTTTTTGCCCCTTCATTTTTTGAAAATTTAGTGTTTTTTTATTTAACGGAATATGTTGAGGACATAATTTTTTTTTAAAAGCAAAAGATTAGATGGTTGCACAATTTTGATATGGTATTAGAACAATCAAAGGTCTTTTTTTGTCCCTTCATTTTTGTTTAGTGTTTTTTATTTTAAGGAATGTGTTGAATGTTGGAAAAACAGTGGGTTTTGGGGGGGGGGGGATGCAATATTATTTATAAGTTGATACATGGATTGGCTTGAATCGAGCTAGGCACTGTGCTAAGATACTATTTCAGCAATGTGAAATGCTTCAGCAAAATTAAATAATAATAAACCAACAAGTTTTCAAAGTATAATATAAAAGAAGGAAGAATTAGGAATATATATATATAGAAAAAATTGAACACGGAAAGAAAAGAAACAATTGTAGAAGAAAACTTTATAATGATTGCTAATGATTAGAAAAAAATTGAACATGGAACGAAAAGAAACAATTGTAGAAGAAAACTTTATAATGATTGCTAATGATTAACAATGATGATAGTCTCAAAGAACAGTTGTTGGATGTGTTTCGAATGGTGTAAGAATGGATGGTTATAATAAGGACCGGTGGCTGTGACACTTGTCCGTAATGGTTCATGTAAGAGCCACTTATCTATCTTCTTCCATGCAAAAGAACATTTGTCAAGAAATGTTTGAAATATTACCACATTAAAGCCATAATTGTAAAAAATAAAAGTGTGCACTTTCTAACTGTTTAAACTTTTATATTAGATGGTCACACGCTTCAATATGGTACCAGAGCTGCAAGAGGTCCTAGATTCGAGTCTCACCAAAGGAAAGGAATTTTCATGTGCTTGGCCCAGGCCCGCACGTGAGAGACATGTTGAATGACATATTTAATAAAATAAAAGACAATTAAGAAAATAAGGAACGTGTTGAATGACGTAATTAAGAAAAGGAAAGACATTATCAAGAAAATTAAGAAAATAAAAGCATGATCCTTGTAACAACTTAAGCTATAAAAGACATAATTAAGAAAATAAAAGTGTGATCTCTCTAACAGCTTAAGTAAGCTTTAGATGTTATAGTCACAAACTTCAACAAATAAGCAGAATGGATACATGGGATTCATATAGCTGATTGAATAAAAGACAGAGAGTCGCATTAGGTTGACGGAGAATTGAAATGGACTTGAATCAAGCGGAATTGGTATAGGGGATTCAAATAAGCTGATTCCAACTAGAGTGATTTCTCTAACATCGTAAGCTTTTAGATGTTATAGTCACAAACTTCAACAAATAAGCAGAATGGATACATGGGATTCATATAGCTGATTGAATAGAAACAGAGAGTTGCATTAGGTTGATGGAAAATTGGAATGGACTTGAATAGAGAGGAATTGATATAGGGGATTCAAATAAGCTGATTCTAACTAGTTCGGGACTGAGCCATAGTTGATTGATTGGTTGAGTCTTTTTTGTTGCGTTGATTTTATAATTTCTTTTCTTTTACAGAGTAATTCCTACACGAAGGAGCTGTCCGATGGCATACAGGCTGTATATGGAACTCCTGAAAAGATATGCTTTTTCATTACCATCTCTAATTAATGGTCCAAATTATCGAAAGTACGCCTCGTTCTCCTATTTTGTGCCATTTTCTTGTATTGTCTCTTTAATTTGATTCCATAAGAATCTTTTTTCTTTCGCTAGGTGCTTTAGACTATATTATCTGTTGGTAGGATCAGTGTTTTGATGCCTGTCATTTTATGTCATTCGCGGTAGTGTAAAATCCTTCTTTGGTACTGAGACTTCATGGTTCATCTCAGTCATATCAAGTGCTGTAATATGTCCCAAAAGTTAAAAGATGTAGTTTGAATTACTTTGGATGAAATGTCTCACTTTCGCTGTGTAATCATTCCCTTGGACACTCATTGAATCTTCAAATTATAACAGCATAATCTATGACGTTTCCTAGAGTATTCACTTTTTTTTTCCTCTGAAATGTTATTGACTTATTTGGCATAACTCTTTGTTGAATAGTCTCTTTTTTTCAACAGAGGTTCTTTTGTTCATTTTCTGGTTTTCTATATATTTTATTTTAGGTCCTCTAATTTATGCCTCAATCTGTTGTGAGAATGATATCTTAAGTGAAATTTCTTTGACATAATCTTCCATTGTATGCTCTGGTGAATGTTTGTCCTCCTATATTTCCTGGGAGGTAAACAGATGTCATGTGGCTGAAAACCTATCATGCTCGAACTCTCCGAAAATGTGGCCGGGTGTGTGTTGGATCCTCCAAAAGTAGTATATTTTTGGAGCCATTACTTTTGGAGGATCCGACACAGGTGCGGCAACATTTTGGAGAGTTCGTGCAACATAGCTGAAAACTAATAATATTCATGATTGATTCTAATTTTCCAAATTAACATTGACGTTGTTTTGAACTAGTATAATTTTTGTGGATGAATTTCAATAAAAGAGTTAACTTATCTGGTACTGCTATTGCAGGATTATGGAGTCGATAAATGATACTCTTCATCTTTCCCAGATATTTGAACTTCAGGGATCTGAAAGTGGAAAGCATGTGGTTGGATATGTTTTCATGGTTGTATGGCAGTTACTTGATGCCTCGCTTGACGATGAAGGATTGCTGGAGCTGACTGCTGAAAAGAAGTCTAGGTGGCCAGTTGCAACTCAAGAAATGGAAGTCAGCAATCGTGATGGCTTTGCTGGGAAAAGAGTTGAACATCGTGAAGGATTATGCAGAATGAACACTGTATTGGCTATTGAAATAATTGGTGAACTTTTTGGGGACAAATTGACATCCATGATTCTTTACTTGGCACGTAAGAACATGTAAGATCATAGAGCTTCCTTCATTAAGTGTTTGCGCTGTATCAAATAGCAACATGTTTCTTACTAATGCTTTTTTCTCAGCGTTCCATTGAGCCATGAAATGAGAAGTAGTGCTTAAAAATATGCATACTATGCTAGACTAAGAGATATTGGTGGTTGCTAAATATGCATTTGTTCTTTCTTTAGGCCCACACATTGGGATTCTTTCATGCAGCACTTACAACTTCTAGTGTCAAATTCGGCAGCTCTAAGAAATTCCAAGAATATCTCTCCAGAGGCTTTGGTGCTATTGATATCCAAAAACCTTGGAGTGCTCTCCAGGGAATGCAAAACAAGCTCACGGCAATTTTTTCATGCTGTTATGGCTTCTGGATCACTTGCATTTTCTGCTAGTCGGCGTGACGCTGCTAGTACATCAGTTCTCTGGCTACCAATTGATCTCTTTCTAGAAGATACCATGGATGGATTTCAAGTGGCAGCTACAAGTTCCGCTGACACTCTAACTGGTCGACACTGTAGTATCGTCTAAGTTATTTAGTATACCCTGTTCTGACCTGCTAAACTGGAGTTATTTTGCAGGTCTGGTGAAGGCTCTGCAGGCAACTAACTGTATAACATGGCAGGACACATTTTTTGGATTATGGGTTTCAGCCCTAAGGCTTGTTAATAGAGTAAGAGTCAACGAAGATATCCTTTCTTTCATCGGCTTTATCAAAGTTGCTAGATGATAGAAAAACTATGCTTCCTAGCAATCCACCATTTTCCGTCTTCAGCTCTAGGTCTTCTTTTTTAACATAATTTTGCTGAGAAGTGCTTCCAAGTTTCAAAATTCCAGAAACCAGCCTAATTTATTTGTTAAGGGCTAAATATGGGGTTTCTTCTCGGCCAAGAATTTACATTCCTTTGTATAGAAGGTTAAATGAAACAAATACCAGTATATGCATAAGCAGTTATACTGGTACTATGCTAGACTAATAGATATTAGTGGTAGCTAAATATGCATTTGTTCTTTCTTTAGGCCCACACAT